ACCTTTAAAGCGCTTCATGGCATAGGACCCGGTTACCTCCGAGACCGCCTTCTGCCGCAGATTCCTTCCCACAGACCGGTACGCTCCCACAGAGTGGGTCTCCTCAGGGTGCCGTCGGCCAAGCAGTGTCGGCTGGCGACCCCCAGGGGGAGGGCCTTCTCTGTGGGTGCCCCTACCCTCTGGAATGAACTACCCCCCGGGATTCGGATAATTCCGGATCTCCTCACCTTCCGTCGCGCCCTCAAGACATGGCTCTTTCAGCAAGCGGACCTGACCTAGGGTGGATTTTATACTGGGTTTTTTAGGAATTTGGAAGACACAACATTAAAATTCGGTTTAATTCGGTTTTAAGGGGGGGATTGTATATATGTTTTGGTTTTAAATATGTTGTGCGCCGCCCTGAGTCCCGCTGGGAGAAGGGCGGCATATAAATTAAATTAATAATAAAAATAATAATAATAATAAGTGCTATTGCTATTCCTGTTCATACCATCCAAACCTGAACTCTTGATTAAGAAGGTGGCTTATGTGGTTCATGAAATTAGGAGGCCTACCATGGAGCTTTTCACACTCTGCAGTAAGTGGTCATGTTGTTCTGCTATGGTCAAGGCAGCTGAGTGGACTTTCTGATAGATTGCCTCCCCATCTCTTGTCTGGAAAATGAATAGGCCTTCCCCAGTATCACACATCCTGCCAGAAAAAGAACAGAGTGTGGTTCCATGTGATCAGAATAATTTATAACTATGCATTCCTACAGCAGGGTCTCTGCTGAGGGAAAAAGAGGAGCAAGAAAGGATGAAACAAAAATAGCAGATAACAGCGTATTCAATTCAGATGAATTTCTGCCTTCCATATTTCTTGCAATGTTACCACATTTCTTCATGCAGAAGTCGATCCTGTTCCAATTTTATGCTGCTTTATAGCTTTTCCATTGCAAAATATTGCTATAGGAGTACATTTCTCTGCAGATTTTGATATGCAATTTTCTATCAGGTGTGTATTGACTGGAGAACTGTAACACAACATGCAGAAATGTGCAAAAATCTAAGGCTCCTTAGAGTCCAGTTTGCATATGGTGCTTGTATTAAAATTTAAACCACAGTTATTAGTCAAACATAAGTATCACACATACATCCTTGGGTAGACAGATAAGCATAAATAATTTCTACATCTGGGGAATGTTAATAAAGGCCATGCAAAGCACATTTAGTGAAAATAAAAGCACACAAAGGGAGAATAGTTACAATTTAAAGTTCATTTCTTTCCTGGAAGGCTACTTTTTAATACCCTTGAACAATGCATTCTTTCTCTACATGACAAGATAACTTACAACACATTATTCCATCTGGAGCCCAGATACAGATTAGAGAAGCAGCAGAAGGATTCAGGTAGTCCTCAACTTTCAGTCACAACTGGGACCAGAATTTCTATTGCTAAGTAAGATGGTTGAGAACACTCAAATTTATGACCTTTTTTGCTATGGTTATTAAGTTAATCACTGCTGCTACTTCTCCAGTCCGTATCTTTGTGTTAAGCAAATCACACAATTGTTAAGCAAATCTAATTTCCCCCCTTGACTTTGTTGGAAGCTGGCTGGGGAAGTTGGAAATGGTGATCATATGACTCCAGGACATTGCAACTGTCATAAACACATTGGTTGCCAAGGACTTGAATTTTGTTCACTTGCACGTGGGGATGCTGCAATGATCCTAAGTTGTAAGCGACTTTTTTTCTGTGTGGTTGAAACTGTGAACAGTTGCTAAATGAATGCTTGTAAGTCGAGGATTACCTGTGTACTACCTTTGAATTTAGATGTGCTGCCATTTTGGCTGACTATTTCAGCCAGGTTAAACTTGTACATTTTAAGAGGACTTTCAGTACAAAAAGATTCCTTTTTTATTCCCCTTTGCAGCAGAAAAGATTTTGCCTCCAGGACTGAATATTCTAATTAATCCATTATTAAATGTTTTTCGTGTCCATCACCCAGGCCAAAATCTGTACACGTGGGTGAATATATATGTGTAAATATATGTGTATATGCACATATGGGAAGTGTGTTTTTATTTTTCTTTTAAAAATGTCCTGAATAAAAAGCACAGGTCTAGAATACCTGTGTTGCATGCAGAAAAGTAACAGGTAGTCCTTGGCTTATGACCACAATTGAGCCCAAAGATGTTTGTTAAGTGAGTTTTGCCTCATTTTATGATCTTTCTTGCCAGACTTGTTAAGTGAATCACTGCAGGTGATGTTAGTAACCTAGTTGTTAAATGAGTCCAGCTTTCCTATTGACTTTGCTTGTCAGAAGATCACAAAAGGTGATCACACGACCCCAGGACACTGCAACTGTCATAAATATTAGTCAGTTGCCAAGCATCTGAATTTTGATCACATGACCATGGGGATGCTGCAACGTTTGTAAGTGTGAAAAATGGCCATACGTCAACTTTTTTCAGTTCCGCTGTAATTTTGAACAGTCACTAAATGAACTGTTGTAAGATGAGGATTACCTGTATAGGTTTGATTCCACAGTATCTTCAGATTGGGCTGAAGAAATTAAAAAAAAAAATCTAAAAGGAGCCAAAGAAGGTTCTTAGTAACCAACGTAATATCAGAAAAGATATACAGTCCAGTCTGAATCATACTTCTATAGCTCCCAGTGTGACAGACCATAATCAGATTCACACTTGTCAAGAGATTTAGAATATTGGCTGTTCTCCCAAAACCAAACAGACCTACTTCCTCTGCCATCAAATATATTAATAGGACAGAGAACAGTTGTTGCTGCTGTATATATGTCTGTTGGTTTGGTGTGTGTTTTGTTAATGCGATATACGAGGGGTCCAATTCAGAGAGAATTTCCTGTTTTCAACATTATGGGGGAAAAAACCCTGCAGAAAATAATTTTCTAACCTTCCAGCTTCAAATGTAAACCAGGTTGCATCCCGTCCATATCGCCGGAGGGCACTTAAAGGCCAATATACGAGTTTTATTCTGGGATTCTGTATGTCCCAAAGACAGATATTTTCAAATGTTATCTGCAAGGTACATTCTCCGTGCACATCTAAATTAGGTGACGGCATCAAATACACATGAAATCTCTCTGGGAGAAAAAGAAAAGTTTTAAATTAAAATCCTTGCAAAACTAAAAGCCAGCATAATCATAATAAATCATGCATCACTTTCATGGCATTTTCCAATATCCAAATTGCTCCATAATTATCCCCACATTTTTTTTTCCTAACAGCCTACAAAATGAAAGAGCAATCTTACATGACTTAGAGAACTTTATTTGATTGTACCACTTCCATTGGCAGAAGAAAATCATATTTTGGAATGTCACTGAAATAAACCACTGGTTGTAGAAAAGTAGTTCACTGAGGATAAAAGTTCAGTGTTGTCTTTTGTCTGACATGCTATTTTGCTCTTTGGTTTACGTATGTGAAGCCACTTCAAAGACATGAGCCCCAGTGCAATTGTTAAAACTTAAAATTCTATGAATTTGGGGTATTGCAAGATTCTACCTACAAACTTTCTGTTTCCCAAATTTAGGAACTCAACAGGTTCTTAGTGGTGTGGAAGAGTAACTTTTGAACAGTCCCAAAACCCTTGGATCCTACAAGGATAAGCCACTGTTCAGAAGGAGATAAAAATTTATGCATATTGTTAAAAAGGATTGATTTCACCTAACAGAATAACAAGAGTTGGAAATGACCTTGGAGGTCTTCTAGTCCAACCCCCTGCTCAAGCAGGAAACCCTACACCATTTTGGACAAATAGTTGTCCAATCTCAGCATTCCTCAGATTCCTAACAACAGCTGAGATTGATTCTCATTTTAAATAATTTCTCCTTTGCTTAAAAACGTAGGATTGAAACATTTAACTAAGCAATGCTGAATCTACCTCTGTTGGGTGACACATAGTTTAACTGGCAAGAGGGAAAGAATGGGGCAAGAGAGAGAGGAGGACAGAATATAAACAGAGATGTGACTTGCAGATAAAAAAAATATGACCAATTTAAAAAATTTAACAAAGGAGCATTTCTGGATTTTATCAAGCCATTTTGAAGGCACCCTGAACGTGTCTACTTGTGGTTATATACAACATGTATTTACATACCATTCTGTTCCCTCTCTACACCAGAAGCCAATAGGTCAGGTTCTCCAAGGCTAATATCATTAATCTGAGTCCCCAGGCACTCAATTTGAAGGACTTTGCACCATTCATCTGCTTCAAGTTCTGCATACAAATGACCAAAAATCTGCAGGTTGGCATGGACCATTTATAATATTTACAGCTACCACAATTGTGCGCGCACACACACACATTAGTCTATGCCATTAGACCTACCTGATTCACAAGCAAAAGTCCTGGATGTGTCATCATTAAAATATATCCCTACAGCATGTTTCCTTGTGCCTTTTGGCAACCGCAATATATTCTTCACATGATTAAGTTCTGTAACCTGGAATTAAAAATGAAAACAAAAAAACAGCCACTCGTGAATCTCATTAAGGTTGTTTTATAATGAATATTCTAGGTAACAAGTGCAACCTGACACATTGACGCCATCCATTTGAGGTAAAGAAAGCAAAAACTCTTTTTTGTTTTCTACAACCACAGGCCATTTCCATAGTCAGGTAAGGTTAACTGTGACTTGACAGGGTCTGGACTGTACCTACTAATGCAGGAAGGGAGAAATGGAAATACAACATAGTACACAGGTAGTCCTCAACTTATGACCACAAATGAGCCCATTTCTGTTGCTAAGCGAGACATTTGTTAAGTGAATTTTACCCCATTTTATGACCTTTCTTGCCACATCTGTTAAATGAATCACTGAAGTTGTCGAGTTAGTAACACGGTTGTTAAGTGAATCTGGCTTCCTCATTGACTTTGCTTGTCAGAAGGTTGCAAAAGGGGATCACATGTCCCCAGGACACTGCAACCGTCATAAATATGAGTCATTTGCCAACCATCTGAATTTGGATCACATGACCATAGAGATGCTGCAAGAATTGTGTGAAAAACGGTGATAAGTCACTTTTTTCAGTGCCATTGTAACTTCAAACGGTCACTAAACCAACTGTTGTAAGTCAAGGACTACCTCTGTGTATTAACTTAAAAGGACAAATAAACAGCAAAGGGCAAACATAATGGTCTGGAATATGGTTTATCAAGGAATTGGATTATGAATGTTGAAAGATTAGCAGGGTGATATACCAGCAGTCCCCAACCTTTACAGGCAACCCAGCGGAGAGGAGAGGAGAGGGGAACCAGCCCACGCAAGCATCAAGCAGGCACGCACTCATGTGCATGCTGGCCCACTACTTGCGCAAGTCAAGTTGCATGTATGCACGCATACATGGCAGCCCATTGCTCATGCAAGTCGAGCTGAGTGCATGTATGCTGGCCTGCTGCTCGCACAAGTACTGGGCTGAGGCCCAGGATTTGGGATCCCCTGTGATATACAGTAGCCTCTTGGAGTTAAAGGGTCCTAAGTCAGCACATGAAAACCACCATACCTACATGTCTGTTATATACAGGTACAAGCAACTATTAAACTCCTAAGCTGCAATGCTCCCAACTTTTATCCACTTGTAAGTGCATCTGCACTGACATGCAGACATATCTTTTCTCTCTGGAGGTGAATGATACCGTACAGAATGTAGAAAAGGAATAAGAAGTAATAAGCTAAAGAAATTAAAGGCATGAAATAAGAAAGAGAAAACTGCTAAGTCAAGTATCTGGGATACCAGAAAGAATGAGATATTTATAGGAACTAGGGGAGGGTGTGTGTTAAACTTTAAATATAGAGTTAGGATGAGAATGTCAGAATAGGTAATCGATAAAGGGTTACTTCTCTTTGTGAAGAAAAGATTCAGACTGTCTGAGAACTTTACTTTACTTGTAAGGAGGAAATACAAAAATGGCAAAAATGGTGGTAGGCTGAGAGAATGGCTCCAATAGATCCCAGGAACAACATCACAGTTCTTGTTTATTTGTTTGTTGTGTTTGTATGTGTGTGTGTGTGTGTGTGTGCGTGCGTGCATGCACATGTGTGTGTCTCTATATTTTCTGTATGTATATAGATATCACACACTCAAACACACACACAGGAGAGATATTTAGGGGACTGGAGGCTAAAACAGAAGAATGGTTGCAGGAACTGCGTATGTCTAATCTAGTGAAAAGGACTAAGGATGGCATGACACAAATGGTCCAATATTTGAGGGGCTGCCACAAAAAAGGGGGGTCAACCTTTTTTCTAAAGCACCAGAAGGAAGAAAAAAAGCAATGGATGGATATTAATCAAGGAGAGAAGCCAATTTCCTGAGAATGAGAACAATTAACCAGTGGAACAGCTTGCCTTCAGAAGTTGTGGATGTTCCATCACCGGAGGCTTTTAAGAAGAGATTAGACAACCATTTGTATGAAATGGTCTAGGGTCTCCTGCTTGAACAGTGGGTCCTTTCCAACTCTGTTATTCTGTTGTTCCTTCAATCTATTGGAGCAACTCTCTCAGTCTACACCATTGGGACCACATTGGCCTTTATTTTCCACATCCTCTCTAGTTCTCCTTCATGCCCTGGTATTTCTCCAGTTTCTCATATTCTTGCCTTATGTTGCTGTCACTTGGCATTGCTACATCTATCACATATGTGTCTCTCTGTGTGATGTGTATACAAATCACACAGAGAGACACACATCCATTTCTATTGAAAACTAACTTTCTTTCTCTCTCAATTATCCATATAACACTTTGTCTTTGGTAGCAGCTTTCTTTTTTTCATTTTTCCCCAGCCTGTTGAAATCTGAATTCTGCTTTTGAACACTTACTCAATTTCTTTGTGAAGGTGACTAGATATAGGTGAGATATGAGCTATTGGTTGCCCATGATGGCTTTGTGAAGTTTAGGAGAGAACAATTTAATAAAAAAAAGATGTTTCTCAATCTATTCCCATTATCAGTTCATCCTTAAAGGTCAGATATGAAAAGAGCAATTGCTCTGCCAAAATTTAAAATGAAGAATGATGGGTTTCAACAAACATTTTGCAAGCCTCACTTCACATTTGGTGCTTCAGAGTTCATCCATCTGAAGAGCAAAATCTGTTTGCTTTGGGTTACTTTTTCCACCCACATCTGCACTTTATCAGCTCATAAAGTAAACAATGATGATTGTTCATTGCCAATGACTATTATCTAGACTGAACAAGGTTCTGATTTCATACTACAGATATCAAGAAAGATTCATCTTCCGAACCCAACATCTGTAAACCAAGACAATAAATACACTGATTAGGCAGAATTTCATTCAAAATTCCAAAGGAGACAATGTTAGCTGGAATGGAGTCTGAAGTCACATTGGATATTTTCAGAAAAGCCAAGCTCAAACTGTTGAGATCCTGGAAAACATAGAGCCCTGTCATATTAGAGCAACACCCCATCACAGGTGAGATGTGAGAACAACAACTTTGTTACATTGTTGCTCATTTTGAATTTTAATTAAGCTACTTATTCAGAATGATAACAGAAAATAACAAAGATTAATAAACAAAGATCACCCCTTAAAGAGATACTTGAACTTCCCTACATTTAGTTTCAGTGAATGACTGCAAGTTTTAACATTATTAGATTGTATCTCTAGCCACATTATGCTAAGCAAAACATATGTACCCTATATGTGATTCCCTGTAGCTACCAGTCCTAGACAACTTTCTATGGGTCAACAGCCCCAATTTGGTCATTTAGGCATCTGATGTTACTAGAATAGTACAGAGATCACAAGATGGAGCATGAGCTTATTTTTCTTGACAGCTTTTCAGATAATTTAAATATTTTAGTAGTTGAATTAGTGAAATGAAAATGTCTGACCTCCCAGAAACCTCTCACATTTTTTAAAGAGGAACCCCCCCTCCCAAAAAACTAGCCATGTTGTCACTGATCTTAGGGTGCTAGAGTGCAAACAGAACATTGATGGCCTTGATGCCCACATCTACCCTACGTTTGAAAGCCCCAAATATGGTATCTGTGGAATCCTTGGTGCTTTCTGAGCTTGGTTATTTCCCTGTGGACATTCCATTACAAACTAGTGATGTTACCTAGTTTGGTAATGAAACAACTGCAGTAAAACAATGAAGCTCAGAGACCACCAAGGACTCAACAGTTCAACCCTGTGTCACAAATACAAATTGTCTTCTGTAGTATCTGTTCTCACAGGGTAACTGCTATAATCTTCTAATAATTCTCCTTATAGTGCTGCTAACTTTTGTTACTTAAAATTAAATTGGTCAGATTTGAATTGAAAACTCCTTTCCAATGCACATTGGAGGATTCAGACACATTTGTCTTAATCATGGCTTTGATGCTGAATTCTCTCCCATACAAGGAAGAGGTTACAATCAGATGAAGAAGCATTTCATTCACAGGTCCTTCCTGATGATGGAAAAGTTCATCCAAGGCCTCATATCTATAAATAAAAGTGTTAGTTATAAGTTAGCCTAAGACATCACCAAGTTGGCTGAACAACTGCAATAAATCACTGAAGTGATAAGAACAAAATTATCAGATCTGGCTCTGTGAAATTAAAACAAATTTAAATCTATGATACTAATTGGAACACCCTAGTAAGTTCAATAACTTCAACAATGGCTGTTCAAGCTTTATAATTCTAAATCTGACCATAAGAAACATTATATAATTAGGTCTTGTCAGCAACGGCAACCCCAATTTTCACCATACATGCTCACCCTGCAGTAGATTCCAAACTGTTGAGTTCTTGATAATAATTGAAGACGTGTATTCACCTCAACTTAACAAAATCTTTCAAAGCCAGTCTATACTGTAAGCTAAAAGGGGGGGGGGATGAAGTCACCTCCAATTCAAGCTCAATTCCTAATAGCATAGGAATAGGGGTGACACGATAGCAGTGTTATAATATCTCAGAGGTTGCCATAAAGAAGAGGGCACCTGAAGGCAGAACAAGAAATAATGGATGGAAACTAGTCAAGGAGAGAAGCAACCTAGAAAGAGAAATTTCCTGACAGTTAAAACAATTAGTCAGTGGAACTGTTTGCCTCCAGAATTGTGGGTGCTCCATCACTGCAGGTTTTTAAGAAGAGATTGGACAACTATTTGCCTAAAATGGTATAGGGTTTCACTGCCTGAGCAGAGGGTTGGATTAGAAGACCTCCAAGATCCCTTCCGTTTCTATTCTATTCTATTCTATTCTATTCTATTCTATTCTATTCTATTCTATTTATATGATATACCCAGGAATATCTTGGCATTATACAAAAGCGGTTCTTCTTAGCTTTTTTCTGGATTTTTTTTTATAAATTCCCAGTATAATATACAAACTATAGAACAGACTTAATAATTACAACAGGTGTTAGGCAACAGAAATCCAGACCACAGAAAAAATGTAAATTAATAAAGTTTTAAACTTTATTAATTCTTATTGAAATATCTTAATACACATTCTTAGATTAAAACTATCCTCAGAATATAAAGTAATCATAGCAACATTTTGTTGGTGGCTAGTAACTCTGAGTTCAGAAACTTTTCTTTTCTTCTGAGCAGGATAAAAAAAATATTTTGGGAAGTTATGCATAGCAAGAAATAAAATTCCCTTTTGAGCGAAAAGGAGAAAAGAATTAATTATTACTGAATTCTAGATACTACATTCAGGCTCTAATTCCTTCATCATTAAGAGATCTTTGGATATAACACATTTTGTATTAATATTAATGTATTAATATTAATAACATTTTGTATTAATAATGTGAATGGGAAAGAGAAAGAAATTCAAGATTTACTTCAATAATTTGTCTACTCCAATTATATACTTTTTATGCCAACCTAAAATTGGCACAATTTCTACAGACAAACAATGAAGAAGATAAAAGAATTGGTTAGAATTAAAATATATCTTTATTTTGATCCTCAGCAAAACAGGTGCAGGTGCATAACGTAACAAATAAAAAAACCAGCATATTCATATTTTTCATAGTACAGAGAAACAAGGAATTGGACTAACCAGCAGATTCATTTCACATAATACGTTTTTCCATATCAAAAATGGCACATTTAATTATGTGATGCAAATTAACAAAGACCAGATCACTGGGTCAATATCTGCATGCAGCAGTACAGACGCTGGTCATGTTGAGAAGAACTGATAAGTCCTTGACCTTTTCTCTGTTTTTTCCCCCCCATGACTTTTGGACATGGTTTCGAAAATCCTTAAGTTTTTATTTCTTAAGATTCCAAGCATGGCATATAATAGCAAAGCTTTAATAATCAATACTGTATACATTATGCATCAGGCAAATGTAGACGGACAAAATTTAAGGGGATTTAAGAAGATTCAAGTTTGCACATGGCTTTTATTTTTTAAATGTTTCTCAAGTCAAATAAAAATGGATTAGCTACCAGAAGCTTATCTTTTTTTGCTCCAAGGCTCTTAAACACCACACCTAAATCCCATTTTTAAATATATTAAGCTGCATTGCCAGAGCTTAAAAAATAGGTAAAAGTCTAGTATAGTTATCATAGCATAGCATGGAATTATACATATATTTTCCAGACAGAGTACATGATAATAGGGACACATACACATTCATTCACTCGCACATTCCTTCCCTCTTTTCTCTCTCTGTCTCTGTCTCTGTCTCTGTCTCTGTCTCTGTCTCTGTCTCTGTCTCTGTCTCTGTCTCTGTCTCTCTCTCTCTCTCTCTCTCTCTCTCTCTCTCTCTCTCTCTCTCTCTCTCTCTTTCACACACACACACAGACACACACTCACAGAGTGGGGGGGTCAGTATTTAGTATATTGATTATATTAACAGTTAACTAAAAGGGCTGAAGACTATTAAATTTGCATGCCTTAAAAATTTATTCCTTTATTTATCTAATTTCTATAGCACCCAATTCAACCAGGTGACTCTGGTTTTTATATAGATACAGGTAATATGATTAAGGTGGGGGCAAGGAATGCAAATAGCAAAGTGGTGATTCAGATCTCATGGTTAAACTGCCATCTTGATTTCCTTTGTCCCCACCCAGACATCCCTAGATTAAGTGCTAATAAAACCAGAACAATCCCAACTTTAACTGTCTTTAAATGACAGTAAATTGTGTATGTCTTTAGAATAGATGAATTGGCACAAAAGACCAATTTAACTCTGGAAGTAATTTGCATAAGAGTTTCATCACAGCAAGAAACTACAGGAGAAGCATCTTATCCAATCCTTTACCTCTTCTTACCTTGTGATAACATCTGAAGTATGCAGCACGCTCATCTGAAAATTTCTCCATTCTTCTGGGCCCTTTGCTGGATGCTTTCTTGAAGACTAGCCAACATCTCTGATAAATCTATGAAAAACATACACAAATATACTTCCCCATGACTTGTATGACAATGCTTTTATGAAAATATACACTTATAAATATCTACACACACCTATCCATCTAGATATATTTAAATCCTCCATCCAGGATTTAAAATTAGGTCTATGCAATTTGTCCCAGTGATTCCAAGAGACTTGAAGTTCGATTATTTTGGGACCCATCTCAGCAATTATACATCACAAACCACATCTTAGTTTTGAGTTAAATGATTATACTGTTATAGACCAGTAAATAATTCAAAATCATTGTGCAACTATGAACATTTTCAGATGTTCTGCACTTACCGCTTTTTTTTCCTCTTACATTCACTCATTAATTCATAATCATATTAGACATGGAAGCCATATTTCTGAATGACTAAATTAAACAAGGAGAGAAGCAACCTAGAACTAAGGAGAAATTTCCTGACTGTTAGAAGAATTAATCAGTGGAACAACCTGCCTCCAGAAGTTGTGAATGCTCCAATACTGGAAGTTTTAAAGAAGAAATCTGACAACCATTTGTCTGAAATGGTATAGGGTTTCCTGCCTGAGCAGGGGGCTGGACTGGAAGACCTCTAAACTTCCTTCCAACTCTGTTATTCTGTTTTCTTTTATGCTCTTTTGTTTCAATGTCCCTAAGAAGTTCACAGATTACAAAAGAATCCTTTTGTAACTTTTTTGGCTCTGTGGTGTTTTCATGTCATTTAGCTTTTTTCAGATACTACATATGGGATAAAACAGGGGTAGTCAACCTTGGCTCTTTTATGACTCATGGACTTCAATTCCCAGAATTCCTGAGCCAGCTTAGCTGGCTTAGGAATTCGGGGAGTTGAAGTCCACGAGTCATAAAAGAGCCAAGATTGACTACCCCTGGGATAAAACATATTTTAGTATTTCTAGACTGCTCTCAGTGAGACTTTCTTTTACAGCTTGACTGATTGTCTTAAGCAGTTTAGAAAGCAAGGAGTAATATCAATATCAGTCACAGTCACTGTCCTCCTCCTCAGTATTCCTCAACCTTGGCAGCTTTATGATGTATGGACTTCCAGAATTCTGCAGCCAGCTTCCAACTGGCTGTCCCTTCCAACTTTATTATTATTATTATTATTATTATTATTATTATTATTATTATTATTATTATTATTATTATTATTATTATTATTATTATTATTATTATTATTATTGGCAGTTTCTGTGCATTGAACTCAACAAGGTAAATAGGGGGAGGGGCTGTTCCATTTTATTTCATGCAACAAAACACCACTGAATGGTTCTGATGTCCCTTCCCCATTTACTTATCCTCCAATCATTTACATCAGTAGGATATCACTCTGGACCAAATACCTAAAACCTTACAATTTTGTATTCTCAAATCAGTTACTTAAAAACATGTCTGTTGTTTATTATATTGTCAAAAAAGTGTCAGAATAGACATCAATCAACAGTTGGAAGAGAGAATGCAAGCCCCACCTCAATTCATGATGATGATGGTGATGATGACGCAACACATCATCAAGTTGTTCTTGACCAATAGTAACCACATAGATTTTGTCCATGAGGATCTGCCCCTAATCTAATTCTTCAGCTCTTTCAATAGTGCACACAACACTACTGTAACTAATTTCACCCACCTTGCTGCTGGTCATGTTCTTCTCTGTCCTTCCACTTTTCCCAGTATTAGACCCTTGTCTAGAGCAGGGGTGTCAAACTCGCCACATCATGTGATGTGTCATGACGTATTGTGACTTCTTTCCCATTGCCGGAGCTGGAGTTGGCGCAGTTTCGACATGACACATCCGGCCCGCAGGGTGGCAGTTTGACACCCCTGGTCTAGACAATTATGTCTTGATATAATGATATCATATAAATGTTCAAATGGGGTAGAGGCTGCAGTACATTGCAGCTTGTGTTATCTTAACAAAAGTGTCAGAACCTGCAGATGCCTTGGAAAGAATGTAGGATTGGGAAGAGTCTTGAGAAAGTTCAGCTTCAAATGAATTATGCTCTTACTTACTTTCCCCTTTTTGCTTAGGTTATTTTTTTAAAAAAAATCTGTTTCAACCTTATGTTATTCACCCAGTCATCAAATGTGATGGCCATAAAAATGATTAAATGTTGTTTAGCAGGAATAGGAAATGTAGTTTGGGAGGATCTTATATAAGCATTATATAGTCAAAAACATCTGAAGATTTTGATAAGTGTAAATATTTATATATCCTGGTTGCAATGCTTTGATATGTTGGAATGTTAGAAGATAAATGGGAATGCAGGATAAGCTTAACTTTTATTCATTGACCATGTAAGTCAGTTATAATCACATAATGACAACCACTACCTCTGATTTAGTCTACATTTAGTGCATAATCTCCAAATCTCAATGGAGAGTTTATAATTGAAAAACCTAGCTGAGTTTTTGGATTCTTCCCAGCTCCTTATTTTATCTTGTCTGATGAAGAGCTCTTTTCTTCTCTGCTCTGTTCAGTCCTGATAAATGTACTGATCTACTATGGTTAATAGATTTTTCTTTAAAGACCAAATGTTACTGTGTTTACTTTACAGAAGGCAGGAATTTCTGATTCCATATGATGAGATAGAATATAGCAAGCTGGGTTCCCAGGAGGTACGGGGTGCACTCCAGACAAATAAGAGTAACTCAGTCAAGATATCTTGTGTGAGAGAAAGAAGGTGAAGACAGCTCCTCCCTAATAAGTCCCGGAGTATATGATAGATGCATATAATAGAATGCTTAGCCTGGCAAGATTCTGTCTATAGGTATGGACCAATAAAGAATTCAGTTTGAAAGAATCACTACATGTCTTTCTTGGTTTGGGGGCCTAACAAACTAGGACAACTAGGACAACTAAGTTCAGTACCACCAAGAATCTGAGCTAACTGAAATGGACATAAATGACACAACATTTATAAGCTAAAAATGCAGGCATTGTAACTACAGAGAGTCTACTATTTCACACTTCAAAACAGCAACAGTTATTAACATACAATTGTTATGTTGTACATAACAACTGTAACATACAATCAGGCTTGTTCTTTGTTAAAATCCATTTCCTTGGTAACAACTTCTCCTGCTGTGGCTTTAGAAGGCAGTGCACCAGTAAGTACCTCGTATTTATAAGGGCAAGACTTTTTGAAAGATTTGTAATTTCTTAAAAATTACAGGTAGGTAGATGTAACCTCTGGAACAGAAATTTGATGACTAGAAGATTAAATTTCAGTCTTCATGTTTCCCTCTTTTAACCAGGACATATGCAATCAAGCCATCTTTTGTGATATCATATTGATATCACAATTGATTCAACTTACCACAGTCAAACTAATTGCAGAAAGTTTTTGAATTTTATGAACATGCCACAAAAAGATCACCCACTGTACAGGTAGATGGTCACTTAACACTGATTTGTCAAAAGGCAAAACAATGAGATAATAATAATAACTTTATTACGGTCAAAGGCCAGAGCAAAACAATGAGAATTTTCCTTAACAAGGCCCCCATGTTAGACCTTTTTCTTTTTTCTGGGTAGGCGAGATTTTATCCAGACAAAGCATTTGACTGAAAATCCTCAGGTTGCATTTCTTAAGTATACCTGTGAGATCTTTGTAAAGCTCATGGGCCACTTTAAATTAAAATCATGTTGGATGAACAGTTGAATAGCTAATAAAAGTAATGAAGAGCAGGTATTCTATCTGGAAAATAAGGCCAGTTGTTGGAGGATATATTATAGAATTCTAAAACAGACTGTGCTGAAACTAACAATGTATATGTGATGAGACACACATGTTGATAACCTTCTGCAAGGTGGATGCTATAGGACATATTGTCAGTTACTTTATTCTTATCACAAAGGAGGACGACATTAATGAACTGGACTCTGAAGCAACAACTTCTCTGAATACAGACGTTAACAGAATAATAACAAAATAACAAAGTTGGAAGCGACCCTGGAGGTCTTCTAGTCCAACCCCCTGCTTGAGCAGGAGACCTTAGACCATTTTACACAAATAGCTGTCCAGTCTCTTCTTAAAAGCCTCCACTGATGGAGCACCCACAACTTCTGGAGGCAAGTCATTCCACTGATTAATTGTTCTCGCTGTCAGGAAATTTCTCCTTAGTTCTAGGTTGGTTCTCTCCTTGCTTAGTTTCCATCCATTGTTTCTTGTCTTGCCATCTGGTGCTTGAGAAAATAGATTGACCCCCTCTTCTTTGTGGCAGCCCCTCAAATATTGGAACATTGCTATCATGTCATCCCCAGTCTTTTACTTTATATTACTTATGAACTTTCAAGTACGAACAATTCTATCCACAACTGCAATTTAGAAGATCCGGGAAGTCGAGAAAAGACTGGGAAGGGTTAGTTTCTGGTATGCTGGATATGTATATGGCACACTAGAAACTAACTCTTTCCTGTTGTCTTCTACCTTCTTTTCCCAACTTCCTTTGCTGCCACTATGTAAAGTAAGAACTATATTACACCTGTTTTTTTATGTTTGTAAGATTTGAGAACAAAACTGACTTATGAACAGCCCCTTGGAACTTAAGCTGTTCATAAGTATAGCACTGTCTATACTAGGTAAAGCACCAGGAGTCCATCATTAGTGTAATATCCCAACAGGTATCTTATAGGCATCATCTCAACGTAGTAGCTTATGTTACAAACTTGGAATTCTATACTGTAAATACCATTTTTTCCCTATCACTAGCCTGTAGTTTCTTTTCCTCCATAAGCCCAACAGTAAATTAAATACAAAGTTAAAAATAATACAGTCCAAGTTTACAACTATCTAGTCCCAAAATTATATTGGACGCAACTTTCAAGCAACCATCCTATTTAAAGAAAGTAAAGTGAAACTAGATGGGGAAAGGGATCTGGAATTATGGTTAAAAAATGAATCCATGCCTTTATTATCAAAGCATTGATAAAATGAATACATTCCACCCCATTAAATGACCATTAAAAAGTCTATTCT